ATTACAATAATCTGTAGGCACTGACCTCAAGGTCACGTGATTAGAATTAAATAGTCAGCATTGTAATTCATTCTTCAATATATATATATATTTTTGATAAAATTCATTCTTCAATATTACTACTGCCAAAGATTGGACCGACATGCGGTGGCCCCCGCCTAGTTTGGGATATTAATGTCGGTATAGCCGTTCTTATTCTGATTTTAGCTAAAAAAAAGAAAAGAAAAAGTGGGGAATTGGCCCAAGAGTTAGACAACACTTGCTTTGCATCTCAATGTCCTAACAGTTTTCTTTATTATTATTATTATTTTTTGGTAAAGCCATGGAACGATATCATAGAAATAATTTTTCATATTATTTTTTGATATATTTTTTATATGTTATTAAATAAATTGATATATTTAATATTATAAATTTTATATAAATAAAAAATATTAATTATTTAAATAATAAATAAAATTATATTAAAAAATAAAAAAAAATATTTCAAATTCTTTTTTCAAAGCCGTATACGGTCTGAACAGTTCCATCTAGCATATTTGGAGATCTGACAATTTTCTTCAAATCCAAAAAAAAAAAGAAAAAAGAAAAAAAAGGAGAGATATGATAGCAGCAGTAAGTATTTATTTATATGACCGACATTAACCTATCTATGGTCATCTTAAACCTACCCACCTGCAATGCATTATTTACCACCCGTCACGACAAGTATCAAAAATAAAAAATTCCCTTCACGACACGTCACTGCTTTAACAGACAATCAATTAATTACCATAAAGCAATGAAGCACTATTTCCACTTTTCTCACTCTTCCAATTATCACCAGGAAACAAACAGCCCCCCTTTTTTTATTTTTGCCTGATAATTTTTTTCTGCAAGAGCATCACTATATTTATCCAGCCGTTATCCCAATTAATTCCCATAAAAGAATTATAAAATTTAAATGGTAATTAATTACATAATTATAATCATTAAATTGAGTTTCATACCTCAATCAGGTAAAATTTAAATTAAAAAACAGTTTCCTTTTAAAAAATAAAATTTCATAAAAGGAAAAGGTACATGTTTTATGTACTATACATACACCCCAATCCCGCGCCTAAAAAAAACAAAAAAATTCTCTCCCCAGCTCCAATTTTGGGCAAAAAGCGGCAAAAATTCATCCGGACCAAATTATAGGACCACTCTTCTAATGGCGCGTGGAGGACACCTCTAATTATTCCAACCCACATTATTCTTTGTGTAGAATGTCTGTCTTTCTAAAACAAAATTTTATATATTAAAATAAAGTAATTTTTACATATATATAAATAAAGATGTAAATTTTATATATTTTTATTTAAAAAATATTAATTTCATTAATTTTTAAATAAAAATATTAATTTTAA